TAGGACACATAGAAAAGTGTTCAATAAGATTGCTGATAGCGAGGGCCCTTGTCCCTGATGTTAGGATTTTTTTTTAATAATTTGCATCTATCTGATGCTTGTCATATTTTCTTGTGGTTCATATATCAGAATATATCATAGAATACTGGTCGCTTTAGGCAATGAATGAGAGTATCATTAAATATTTCTTCCACATTTGAAGATCTTATTTGAAAGCTGTCCCCAATTTTTTCCCTAACCTTCTCAGGATGGAATGACTCATCCGTGATCCAGATTTGTTGCAGTGCCAGAAGCAGAATTCTTTCACGACCTCCTCAGGTGTCTTTACTCGTGTGGGAAGGAAACACCAATTTGCCAGTTGTCACCCCCGCTCCGCTTTGCAGCTGAGCTGTCCAGGAACGGCCTGTGCTGGGTGCCCTGCTGCTTCTCTCTTCCGGAGAGACCCACCCGCTCCATCCTGGGCCTCGCTCCACTCACACAAGCAGCTTCCCGCAGGTTACAGGCTGTACCGGTTTCAGCAATTTCGGGGGTTCTGATGGTTTCTGTGCTACTAGGATTTAAGGCAACTCGAAGAACAGTTCAGTTCTCCCTCTCTGCTTTTATTTCGCATCTCTCCGGGTGTGGTGCCTGCTTCCACCTCACAGGCGTACACCACCGGTCCCTGGACGAGGTGCGGACTCCCTGAGAACGCAGCTCTGCGCCCTTCCCGCATAGGACTTCTTCCTTGGCTGCGGCACCCTCGGCTGTTTGTGCACTACATCTGCACGCCACGTCTATATTCTATTCAGCGCAGAGCGGCCCGAGAGCCAGAGCTCGAACCGCGGAGCGCACACACACTCGGGTCGAGGTCAGCAGCCCCGGCATTCTGTGACCGCGAAGACGCGAGGACACACACAGGAGGAAGAAATGCAAAGCTCCGAGGAGCCACTAAACGCATTCTGCTATTGATACTGAATCAACTGAAACCAAAGAGAGCTCCCTAAGAACGTCTTCAGGACAAACACATTTCCGGTTTCTACCCAGGGTAAGAATGACGCGGGCATTGTGAATGGGATGTTTCAGCCCCACTGATTGAATCGGGTCTATTGAAACGCCAGTAGAACCCGGCAGTGGCGGGCACCGGGCAGGTGGTGTAATAAACCACGGCGCCGCTTACGTGCCCGCGCTCCAGGGGCGGCTGCCAGGCAGAGTCTACAGGTCCGCGCCAGGGAACCTTCTAGAGATGAATCCCAACTGCAATTCCAAACGCACTCATCTGTCACAAAGTGCCAACAAAGCAATCGAACCTGAACACTGAATTTTTAGTTTAGAAAAAACTGCTTGTACATTAACATCTTTCATCTTAAAGGAAAAGCAAATAACATGTCTGCCACAGACTTGCCACCACTGCTGTAGGACTTGCAGCATTTTCATTTTAAATAAGCCACCTTCGGTGCGCGAATGTGGCAGTGGGCTGGCCGTTGAACTTCAAAGTTTAGGAGCTAGCTGTGAAATAACACATTAGGTTTATTACTTTACACTGTGTGTGTGCGTGTGTGTGCGCGCATATTGACGAGGAAGGCATGCATCTGAGTGTATACAAAGGAGTCCAGGTACTTACACGTTGCCAGTGAAGAAAAATTTCCGAATATACAGCCATTGTCTTAAGGTTAGGTATCTCAAGAGTAGGACCGCAAGAATACATTTTTATATCTGTGGCGTCTTCCATTTGTTTAAGCTTAATTATATTTGAGTTGTTATGCTTTCTGTTCTCTTAGAATTAATGAGGGATGCATATTCTTTCCAAAAATTCTCGAAGCAGGAAGAACCGGGTCGTCCCGGCCTGGTTTTGGCGACTGCCGCTTGCATGAGGCAGGGACGGCCTGAGCAAAGCCCGGAGCGGAAGCGCCGCGCGCCGCTTCGCGTGAAAGTCACACCGCGAGAAGCCGGAGCTGCGGGCGTTCTCGGCCCTGTCCTTCCCCGCCAGCCGCTCTCGCGGCGCTCTTATTCATCAGCACTCTTTGCTCTCTGCTACCAAAAGTAAGAGACAGCAAACCTGCTGAGAATCTGGAGGCCGGCAGGAGGCCAGGTCCGTGGCGGGCGCCGCTCCCGAACCCGGCGCCGGGCAGGGCTTGGGCGGCGCGAAGGCGCGCGAGCGAGGCGGACGCGGCGTTTCTCCAGCCCGAGAACGTCGCATCCGAGTGAAAGCAGCCTGGAGGGGCGCCGGCTCCGCACCCCACGTGGAGCCCGGGGCGAGCGTCGCGCCCCTGCCTCCCTCAAGTGTAAGGCTGAGAAGCCCGCAGGATGAGGCCATGGCCTTGATCGGACTAGGTGAGAAGATAGGGCCGGGGTCCTTTAAATTGGCACTATCGCTTAGAACATGTAGCTTGGATGAACAATATCTAAGCAGAAAGCTGCCTGAGATTGATTCAGAGAAGTCCAGCAAAGAAAGGTGACGTCCTCTTGAATTTTCATTTTCTCCAAAACATGAATACACATTAATATAATAAAACAATAATATAAAATAATTAAAGTTTATGATTCTAAATGACCCTTTCTGCTGCCCCTCCTTAAACAAAGAGCTCAGTAAGGTCATAGCAGTCAAACAGGAGAAAAAAATGCAGAAGAAGATACATGGAGAAAAGCGTGCTTTGACCCAGAGTGGTACACTGCAGGGCAGCGTTGCGGAGTTTATGCCCAACAGTGTAAGTTTCTGTGCACTATGGAATCTCTGTGTTCTTGGAGCCTCTTAATGTACCTACTCAGTAACCGTTATCCAAACAATGCATATTGCCATTGGTTTAATTTGCTGGGCTGCTTGGTGTTTAATACTATACTATTATGAGCCATTCATTATAAATACTTTTAGTTTAAACAGAATTAATGCTAATCGGAAAAAATTATTTGGAAGATGTAACTCCAAATATAAAACCCAATTCTCTTTGTAACATGATTTCAGTTGAAATATGAGGTAGTGCTTTTGATATAAATTGTGGGTGTGCCGCAGAGAGCACTGAAGGATAGTTCTCAGTAGAATGTCGGCAACTTACTGTAAGTAAGTCATGCTTCAGTCACATTGACTGATGTGTGTCACCTAAGTGTTTATAAGGAAAAGTAGAAAGTAAAATGTTATGTCTGTATAAAAAAGGACATATACCTACATAAAGAAAGACAGACAGGAATGCAGAGCTACATGCCTATGTCTGTATCTGCCCAACAATTTTCAGAAGCATAAAATTTCATTTGTCATAAGATACCAGCCATCCTTCATTTCTTCCTGGAAATAGTACCTTCAGATTGCTGGCAACAGCCACGAGCTCGGGGGCTCTGGGAGGTGGCAGGACCTAACACTTCCTGGGTTAGCTTTGAAGACACACGATGGAGAAGTCTGACTTAGTGCCTGATCACACTTTATGCTGCACTTAAAACCCCCCTTGACATGTGCTCACCTTCAGAATACTGACAAATTATTTAAATTTTTTAACCTTAACTGGGAAGATAGCTGTGCGGTCTAAGCACCTGCCTTGCAAGCGCAAGATCCCGATTCCGCTCCCTGGTACCACATGCCATTGTGGCCGTGGACCCCGGGCATGCCATGCCGGTCCTGGTCCCCAGGCATGGTAGCGCAAGCCTGAAATCCCCACAGTGGGCAGGCTAAGACAGGAGGATCACTACGAGTCTGAACTGCATAGCAAGACTCTGTATCAAGAAAAGTAAAAATTAAAAAAGTAAATTTCATAACCTCAATTTTCTTATTTCTAAATAAGATCAAAGCATAACTTCAAAAATCTTGTCTTCTGTATTATCATTCGAAGCTGGCTACCAAGAAGACATGTCAAAGACCAAGGGGAGAAAAAACTTAATTGAAAGGTACACACTTTTATCTAGGATGGGCTAGCACTATGCAGTAGATTGTCACAATAGTGGCCCCAGATGAATCACACCTTGACTAGATGTGTCCCTGGTAGTCCCTTCCTCCAGGGGCACTGGAGGCAGCCACATGACTTCTTTTGTTTAATGGGATATGCACAATGAGACAGTAGCAGACCCTTGATCAACAGCTGCACTTGAGCTCTTAGCCACTGACAACTCTGCCTTCGCATGCAAGTGGCCTGGGTCACAGTGCTGGAGCGGAGCCTTGGAGCAGAGCTAGGCCGTGCTGGCCAGAGGTGCTTCCTGAGTGCTGTCCTGGACTGTCAGCCTCAGTGGAGTCACCAGGCAACTTTAGCTACACAAGCAGCCCAGGGTACAGAATTGTGGTCAGGTAAATGATTGCTATGCACTGTTGGGACAGCTCAGTGGACTAAGTGCCTGCTTAGACAAGCACAGGGACTGCGATTTGATCCCCGGCACCACATGTGTGCCCCAGCACTGCCCTCAGGTGTGCTGAGCCGGCACCAAGTCAGAGCATGGTGATGTACACCTGTAAGCCCAGTGCTGGGGAGGCCGAAAACAGGAGTCTGAGTCTGAGTGAGACCCTGTAATAATTACACTTAAAAAAACACAGCATAAATGATTGCTGCTATAAGCCAATGTTTTGGAGTGATTTGATTCTTATCAGTGGGATATCTGATACACCCAGTTTAATAATCTGATAAACTAAACCTTTTCTGCTATTAATATTGAATTCAATAAATGATAACTAGAAGTGACCTATCATAAATTTTTAAACGTATCATTTCTTGATACATGAATAAAATCGCAAGCACTCAGAATATAATTAGAAAATAGATGTTAAAGTGAAATATCAATTGCACATTTTCTTTGCTGGATTATCACTTTATATAGTATAGTCAAATGCATGCTTGAGGTGGCACACACCTGTAATCTTAGCACTAAGGAGGCTGAGGCAGGAGGATCTCTGTGAGTTCAAGGCCAGCCTGAGCTACAGACTAATGCCCTGTCTCAAAACATAGAAAACAGAACAAATCACATAGTTGATATATGACAGCGAGAGCTAGGCAATTCGGTACCTACACACGTACTGGTGATGCATGGCGGGCTTTCCCTGAAGAACTTACTGAAACACGATTGTCTGTGGAGCAGCTGCTGGAAAATCTCGCACAAAGACTCTTCATTTGGCGCAGCGGCCCCACAGGTGCACCCGCCCTGAAGCTCGGTCCCGAGGACGCCGAGGTAGGCGGCCCTGCAGGCCTCAGTGCCCGAGCACGCGAGGTCCCGCCTGCCCAGCGTGCGGATGCAGCGGTCGTCGTCCTGGCACTTGGCGGCCACGTGCGGCCAGCACTTGGACTGGAACGTCCTGTAACGCCTCCTGCGGTAAAGAGGCGACAAGTCAGCCCTGGGACGGCGTCATCGCGCGCTTGCAGGCCGTGCTAGTGAGACGCGGAAAGAAGCGAGATGCTGACAGCGCGAAGCTCCCGGCCGCGCCCCCCTCGTTACTGCCTTCATTCCCATGGTGATGATGTGCAGCGCGAGCTACTCGGGAGACTCAGGGGCAGGATTTTACATCTCATGTGGTTTGGGGGCGAGAACTCGGCCCGAGTCTCACAGCACGTGATTTCAAATGAGCGCTTGCGCTTCGGGGCAGTTCTAGGCACACGAGGTGCGGTGCTGTTCTTCCACATTTCTGAGCAGACTAATTAGAAGTCACAAAATGCTTTGTGGTTCTGACAGCAAGAGCTAATGCAAAGCAAGAGCTATGGGTTTATTTTATGGCTAAGCTAATCCATGGGAGCGGTGCCCACAGTAACTTTCCTAATTACGCGTGTGATTCTGGCTGAAATGGCTTTGAGTCGAAGTCCGGGTGAGGGGCAGCGCCTCTAGCTCCACAGCTTTCACAGTACAAGACTGTCCTGCTCGGTGGGGCTGCTGACATTTGTCACCCGCAATTACTTTTCCTGTATAGAGAGGTCACGTCACACAAGAGCGAGGGCTCTTCCGAGTCCGCGGGAAGGCTGAGCTTGTTCGTCCACACAATAGTATTCTGCTAAAAACCAAGAGCCACACTGCTCTCGGTAATCTTACGTTTAAATTACATCCAAGGCTCAGGGTTTTACTATACTGCAGAAAATTAGCTATGGCTATCAGAATTCGTAATTACAAACTCCATAAACAAATGGTCCTGAAGCTGGGGGACAATCATTCCCTCAAGTCAATTAGATAAGGTGTCAAGAATATGTAAGTTATGACGGTAGTGTATGTCATCCAGGAGACTGATAGAAAATAAGGCCACACCTAGACGCAATTTATTCTTTTAAAAATTTATTTTGATATATTTAAGTTATAGAATTTATCTGTTTACAGAAATTGTTTAATTTGATAACCAAATAGTGATTTTGTGAATGTAGTGAGTGAAAGAATATTTTATTAGAAATACTAAAGTAGATGAGATACCTAAAACATTTGAAATTAAACTCTGTAATCTGGGTTCAGCAGTTTGGATGGTAGTGTTTCCATTATTGTTTTTTTCAGATTCTTCAATTTTTAGTTTTGATTTATTGTTCAAAGAACGAAGTGTTTAAAAGACTAATCTCTGAAAATAAATTGAGCATTTGTGTGTATTTTTACTATTAATTTCTAGCTACATTGAAGGCAGTTTTTAAAAATATGGTTTGTATAATTTATGCACATGAAATACGTTACACGTGCCTTTGTGACCCGATGTATAGACACACATTTTTTACATATACTGTATCACTTATAATAAGTAAATATATTACAGAGATTTGCTTTTGAGTAGGCTCTAAACAAATACTTTTTTCACCGCATTTAAGGATTTTACATATGAAAATATGTGGTATAATTTTCTATAAATTCCTAAACATTTTATAACTGGCAAAATATAATCTCATCTCCCAAGAGATATATTAATGCAAAATATTAATGAAAAACATCCTCCCTTACTATTTTCAAAAACTAAAGGAGTTCCAAGCCCGTCCAAGTTCAATGTGGAACAAGGACAGAAACAGGGTTAAAACATTTTAACCCTGGTGCTTTGCTTCATCATGTACAGGTTTTTCTGCAAAAACAGAGTGATAAAACATCTTCTACTTAGAATCCTTTTTATCTAAATTAAATTAACAATAATTTAATATAAATGCTCTAAATCTCCCTAAGGCAAAATCTGCTTAGGGAAATGAGATGATTTTTCTCTTCATATTGAGTATTAATATTGTATAATACTTCCGCAGCTCTATAAAGTATTCATTAAGGGAGTATTTGCACATCAGAAAGGAAATTGAAGACACACAACACTTATTCTCTGAAGTATATTAAGGAAGACAAAAATTATATAAGCAGAGATTTTATACGTACTTTAAAACAAGACTTTTGCTAAAGTGGAGGTGTTATGTTTTGTGCCCAGCTATCCCCCCAAAGCCTCATGCAGTCATTCAAGAGTTTGTGATTAACTCATGATCCACTGGGATTATGGATATGAGTGCTGCTGGGATTATGGGTGTGAGTGCTGCTGGGATTATGGGTGTGAGTGCTGCTGGGATTATGGGTGTGAGTGCCACTCCCAGCCTGGGACAGAGGGCCTGAGCACAGCACATGGAGTGCAGACTTGCTCTCCGGCCACTGCTGTTGCTCTCTGCTCTTTGCTACAGCCATGAGTGGCTCTCTCTGCCCTGTGCCACTCTGCCTTGGAGCTAACCAGGTAATGTCCAGTAAGTGAGCTAAGTAAGCCTGTCCTGCCCTAATGTTCAGTGTCTGGTATTTGTCCCAGCAATTAAAGAAGAGTAACTAAGACAGCAGGGAACAATGTGGCATGTTTTGGGGGCTCGTGCTGTTGCACACTTTGGAGAGGTTCTTACACCTGCAAAGCCTCATTGAAGAAAATCACTTCCTCTGTTCCAGGCCATCTGGATGCAATTCCAAGGCGCACGTGCATTGGAACAGGTCCCAGGGCTCCTTGGGGACCTCAGGAGCATGTTCCAGGGCTTGAGAAAAGGTGTCACTTGCTATGGAAGCTCAGAGATACCTCATCCTGAGGGCTGCTGGCCGAGCTGATGGCCAGGCTACGAGTGCGCCCGTCTCGCCCTGGCACGAGTCACACACAGCCAGGAGCCTTTCATGGGAACTTCGGTATTTTTACAGGAATTATTTTCTAAAAGTGTGGTCTCCTTGACACTGACTGGTTAAAGTATTATTAGGTTTTGCTGACAATGCAGTAGAGAGGTAGACCCTAGGTAGATAGATATATGGATGTCAATAGTCCATTTATAGTGTGAGAAAAATAGTGCAATATAACAATTTGGCTAGCAAACAGAAGCCTTCGCCAGAATTTGTTTTGGTCGTGAGCTCTGCACTGGGTGACTGCCATGATCACAGCCATCTTTTGCAAAATTGAAGAAGGAATTAAGTCTGTGAACCGAGATGCCAATGCATAAGCACAACAGAGCTTAATACAAGGCGCTTGAAAGACAGAATCAGGAAGTACTGAAAATAACAGCAAAAGATGAGCCCAACATTATAAAATTTAGTGTCCACTGGTTTTGACTCAGTTTAATCAGCATTCTTGTTTTCTCCACTTACTACTGTTAGACAAGGAATCCCTCTCACTGAATTTCTGATCACAAAAGAAAATTTCATCTGGAATATATTTTGAAAACATGCTAGTAAAGTCTGTAGTAAGGAAAGCAGAACCAGAATGTTGGACTGGACTGACAGCTGCAGAGAGCAGCTCCTTGCCTAGACACAGTGCCGCCATAGGCAAAGGCCAGCTCCGAGGTTTCCATAGCCGTGTCAGTCACAGCTCTGCCCGGCCTCCTCAGAGGTGCTGACAGAGCGGGGGAGGTGCCCGCACCTCTGCCCACCTGCGTCTGCACCACGCTAGCACAGCGCGTTCCCACTCCCCTCTACTGGGCACAGCAGCCGCCCAGCCCTGCAGATCTGGGGCACCGGCTCTGGCCCGCCCCCACGCCACACTCCACTTCCGCATGTCACGCACACCTCCTCCCTAGAACACGGCTGCCCCGTTTGCTGCGTGTTTCTCCTCTGGCACATTTACTGGGAGAAAGCGACCGCTCACACCCTCAGCATGACAGGAGCATCAGCTCCAGCGCACCGCAGCTCTTTCAGCCGTTCACAGCCTTCCTCCTCCTGCTCTTGGCCTCTCCTTCCTGCACTTTCCTCTCTTGCCTCTTCCCACTAAGTATAAAGCACACAGGACAGGCGTTTTATCTCTTGTGCAGCCCTGAAGCCAAGCGGTCAACAGGCTTCCCAAGGGATCCGGGTGTGCCGCTGGACAAGGAGACAGGCAGGCTCCGGCACTGGCTGAGCTTGCTGTGGGCATGTCCACAGGAGCGAAAGCTGCCTTCCCCGGCGAGCTTCAGCCTGAGACACGAGGTTAGTGCTGGAGCTTGAAGAGTCGGCTTGACAGACTTCTACCTCCACGTGGTGCCTGCCGCCTCCTCCTGTGCTCACACCTAGGCCTGAGCAGTAACGAGGCACAAGTGCAAACCTGACTACGTCTCACTTGCTAATTCAGAGCAACACACTGTTTCAGGGGCAGGGTTTCCTGGTTGCTGAGTCTGGACATGCTTACGTTCTTCATTCACAAAAGCTGTTCTGCATTTGAATTTCAGAAGACGATACTAGACGTGCACCACAGCGTCAAGCAAGTGGCTCGTCTGGGCTTGTGTTACGTGGGGTGGTGGGGGTGGGAGGGTTAGCAATGCAGCCAGAGCGAGCGTGGGGCCTGCACTGCAGCAAGTATGGTGTGAGGTCGGGGAGGGCACGTGCGCTTTCGCTCACCTGCACAACTCGTCGTCGCGGCAGCTGTGGACTGTGCTGAGGCAGGTAGGGGCTGGGCCCGTCCTCCGGGTGCAGGGCTTGCTGTGGAGAGCGTCTCTGGACTGCTGACACAGTGCGTCAGATGGAGCACAGTCACAGAAAGCCAGCATCTGGGCGACATTAAACGGAGCACTTTGGTAGAAGGACCTTGTGGCCGTCTGGCAGTGGTCGGGGTCACAGAGATTTCCCGTGGCCGAGCAGGCTTTCAGGTAAGGGGCCAAGTGCACATTACAGACCACATCGCCCACACACGCCTCTGTGACTTCCAAACAGGATGGCATCCCTTGGAGTCCTGCAAGCAGGCACAGGCACAGAGCTATACAGACAGAATCTGTGGCCACAAGGCATCAATGTGGTCTTTAGGGTGAACATTGCGATTTTAGAGTGGGTATGAACTCGCTGGACCCAGAGGAGCTGTTGCCCTTCACCTGTAATGCACACGCTGTGATCCGAGGGGTAGGAAGGGGGGTCAGGCTGAGCTGCAGGGCAGAGAAGCTGCTGTCCAGGTGCCGCAGGCGTAGGCAGTCGCCCCAACACGGCACCTGAGCGCTGCACCTCGGGTGAGTGCTTGGGCTCGGGTGAGTGCCTGGCTGGTGCTGCCGCACCTGGCCTTTGGGCGCAGTGGGAGTCTTTAAAGGAAGCTGCACACAGCCATTTAGACATAAAGATACCACAATTCTGGAAAGTTCAGAAATGCAGGTATCGATGCATGAATCGCTCCTACCACTGCACAGGTTCACAAAAGCTTTTGTTCCTAAACAGTTCACGTTACGTGATGCAGATGGCCAAGAAATTCAATTACGATCAGCAATTGGGTTTCAAGTGAGAATGTTCTTGGCACATCCATGTCGAGATGGTGAAATCCAGAGAAGTTGCTTTCACTTAGCATCAGTGGAAGAAATGGAGACATTGGTTATACCTTGCAGCACTACAACTGTTAAACCAGGCCATTCCTTGTGTATTGGCGTGTCTGTAAGAAGCTTGGGAGCTACATATTTAAGTTGTGTTGTGTGTTTTTGTTTTAAATGCAGGCCAAAATAATAATACATAAAATTACCATGGTGGGAAGGAGCGATCAGGTTCCATGTGAATGTTTTGTCCTCTTTGATGTGATCTAGAAGAAAGACAAAAACCTATTTCATTACTGAACAGTTTTCTAAAAATCTTAGGAGAAGTTATGAATGATCAAGCAGAAACACAAATAAGTTCAAATGACACTGTTAACCCTTGGTACTCAAAACTACTTCGGTAAAGATGAAGCTAAATACACTTCTGTAATATCATTCAAGTGACCTAAAGAGCTCTGTCTTGGGGGTCCAGTCATGTGAAGATTTAAACCAGCACTAGTGAGCAGGCCACATGTGCTGATTGAATGAAGACTCCGCCTGGAAAAAGAAGAGCAGGATATTGTTTAAAGAAAGAGAAACTCCGTCCTGCTGCAGCCTTAACCAGCTAGAAGTGCAATTCAAAGGCTAGTTCCACCTGAGAAAGTCCTATGCTCCAAGAGCTCTTAGGAATTATAGCAAGGGAACTGGGAGACCTCTCAGACACAAGCTCTGTGGCCAGGCAACTCTCAAAGCCTCCATGCAAGAACGGTGCACCAAGTGGGGTAGGAAGGGTGTGTACGTGCAGCTTCTGTCGCTGAGCACCCCATCATCTGGCTGGGGAGAACATTAACCAAACCCAAAGAGAATGCAAATACTAACAGATGTACGGATAATGAGGTAGGAGACTAGCATGACCAGAAGTTCACATAAAAATAAAATTATATTTTGCCATTGACTACTAAGTTATTATGATGTTTGCTCTATAAATGTTCCCTCATGACCCAGGCTGTCCTCATAGGGGCTTTCTGCCACTCAACCTACTTACCCACCCTCTGCTTGTGTGTGGTGCTGATCACAGGCAAATCCTTCCCGCCCCCTTGTGTCTCAGACTTCTACAGCCCCAGATGGTCTAACTATTTGTTGCTTTTCATTTCCTGTTGATTGTTTCCCAACCCAAGAGCCCTATTTCTTCTTCAGTCCACCTCCGATCGCCAACATCTGCGTCATTGTCCTCTTTGAAATTAATATCAATAATCAGATCTCAGTGAGTCTCACAGCTTTCTTAAAAAATAAGAATTCCAGGCTAGCCCATCTGCTCTGCACTAATGGCTCTGCACTGGGACGTTTAGCTAAGACTGCCCCACAGACTGAAGCAGTCCAGAAAATGCCCGTGTCCAAAAGCACCTGTTGAATCTCTTGCCTCCAGTGTTGCTGCTCTTGGGAGGTGCCTTCATGGTAGCAGACAAGATTGAATGAGGTCATAAGGCCTGGGACCCAGACTGGATGGACAGCACCGTTAGGAGAAGGGATGAGGAAGGAGTAAGAGCCGACTGCTATTACGAGCCAAGAGAGAGGAGCTCTCCTCAGAAACACACCCGAGCCGGCGTTGACCTGGGACAGCTAGCCTGTAGAACTGTGAGAAAATGCGACCCTGTCTTTTAAACCACAGAGCCTGTGACATTTGTTATAGTAGCCTGGATTGAGTAACTAACTTACTATATAAGAAATTGTTCCCCAAACAGCAAGAGCTACTTTTAATGTGAGACAATACATTGCATTTTTGGTGGCGTGCTCCTTTCTATGCTATGATTACACATTACAGTCAGTTTCCTGCATAGACAAGGTCAGTTTCATGTGGCGTTCATGTGCAGTTGCTCTGTACTGGGGATGTATGCACAGACACTTTGAGAAAAGTCTACATACAGATGCTGGAGGTGAATAAAGTTTGATTCTTCCTTTTCTTGTATCCCCTTGTGATCTGCCACTCCTGGACCGTGTTAAGACCCTGAGCGTTGTTCTCCACCCTCATGTGCCTTCTGGGTCCCTGTAGCATTCTCACAACTGGGCTTCTGCCTTGGGTCTTTGCCGTTCCCCAGTTGACTTTCAGTGCAAAAGTGGAAGTCATCCCTCAGAGACCCTGGCTCTCTCCAGAACGAAGTCTTCCATGGTTTATGGCATCAACGACAGGAGGAGTGGCCAAGGCTCCGATCTCGCCCGTGCTATATCACGACTTTGCTTCCCAAACCTCACTCGCTGGCCTTTGCATCTCCAGCTCGTGTCTTTCTGTTTCTCAGGCTCTACACAGATCGACACCCAGGACTGCAAATTTACTTCTGCCCTAGGTAGCCCATGTATCCGTCTGGATCATTCTTGTCTTTTTCTATTTTTATGTACATGTTAATCTCTTCACAACACTTTTCTGACCATTTATTAAAATTATAAGCCATCCAAGGGCCGGCCAGATAGCTCAGCAGACTAAAGCGTCAGTTTAGGCAAAGCATGCAGGGGGGTTTTGTCCCTGTTGTGGGAACTTGTAAACCCTGTACTAAAATACATTTAAAAAAATACAAACAAAAAAATCAAATTATAAGGCATCCATCTAGACTTTTTCTTCTCTTTCCTAGTTTTCTTCTTAGTACTCATTGCTATTTAAAGTATATGTACTTGAAGACACAGTCAATTTCCTCTTGTCCCTATGTGAATGCTGTGATTTACCATTAAGATCCCTGTTTGCTGACTTCTCTTTGTGTAACTTTTAGGTGTACAGGAACATTATTGATTTTTTTTTAATTTTTAGTTTTTTAAAGAGTCCAAAATAGAGATATAAGGAAAAAAGTGTTAGAAATATGGAAGATTACACTGAACAAAAAAATAGAAATCCAACAACAGTTGCTGAATTACAAGACACTATCTTCAAATTAGTTGTTCAAATTACCAGATATAAACATGTAAGAATCATTTAAAAACAAAACAATAATAACAAAGAAGCTATAAGAAATTCAAAAGAGGAAAACATGAGTAAAAAAATTTTAGCATTGGCTTCTTCTTTCAAAACACCAGCAGAAATCAACAATACAGTTATCCAAACTACACCACATACATACCCAAATGCATCTTTTCCCCTCTTACATATGTCATTTTCTTCATTCCAGTTTATCTTTCCACTGAACAGTTTCTTTCCCTTTCACAGTATCTGTTGTACCTTTTAGATTTTCATTACTCTTTCTGGTTCTCACACTAGCAAGATAATAAGATGTTTGCACATATGAGTCTGATTTATTTCACTTACCAATATAGTCTCTAGCTGTATCCATTTATCTACAAAAGCCCCAGATTTATCTCTTTTAATAGATGAATCATACTCCATTGTGTAAAAATACCATATCTTTTTTATCAACTGATCACTTGATTGGCATTTGTGTTGTTTCCAAGATTTAGCTATGATAAATTGAATTGCTATTAATATTGGTACACATACATTGCTGTGGTATGATGATTTCAGTTCTTTTGGAAAAAATACCTATGAGGGTAATAGCTGGGTTGAATAGGACCTCCAATCCTAGCTTTATGAGGAATCTCCATACTGATTTTCATAATAGTTGTACCAGCCTGCGCTCCCACCAACAGGGAAGAAGTGTTCCTTTCTCCCCACAGCCTCTCCAGCATTTATTATTGGTTGACTACTTGGTGTTAGCCATTCTTTCTGCAGTGAGATAGAGTTTCAGTTTCATTTGAATTTGCATCTCTTGAATGACTGATGATGTTGAACATTTTTTTATATATTTATTTGCATTCATACCTCTTCATTTGTAAAGTATATGTTCATCTCCGATGCCCATATTTGGATTGGGTCTTTGAATTTTAGTGGCCTGATTTCTTTTTAATTCTTTACATAGGAACATTATTGCTTTTTGAGTGTTGACTTTGTGACCTGCTACATTACCAAATTTGGTTATTAATCCTAGGTTATTACCAAATTTGGTTATTAATGCTGAATTATTAATTCTAAGAGTCTATGTTGAAGTTTTGGGGGTCTTCTATGTACAGAGTCATATCATCAGCAAAAAAATTTCACAATTTCCTATCTTTCTTCCTTTACTTCATTTGCTGGCCTAATTGCTTTGGCTAATGTTTCAAGATTAATACTGAACAGATGTGGTAAGAGTGGACATCCTTGCTTTGTTTCTGAATTTAGAGGGGGAGTTTTCAGATTTTCTCTACTTAGGAGAATGCTGACTGTTGTTTTGTCATGAATGGCTTTTATCAGATAGAGATAAAGCCTTCTATTCCATTATTTTTTAGAGTTATACTGAAACGATCATATTTTTGACCTGGGCTTGTTAATATGATGCATTACAATTAAATTTTTAGTAAAAAATTATTTTTTAAAAAGAGAAATAAAAATATTTTAAAAATACGCATTAGAAATTATACAGAATTTCACTAAATGAATATTTTAAGAATTCACCGATGTTGTTTTATTGAATATGTGCCTTCAAATTAGTTCTTCATCTTACCAAATATGTGTGAAAAATTGGCCAAAAATTATAAAAATTAGAAAGGAAAGAGAAAAAAAGTATTGATTGCTCTTTTCAATATACCAGCAGTACAATTGTCCAACTTACCCTGTGTATAAGTATTTCTTTTTCCCTTACTTCTTTCCTTTATTTCTCCTTTCTCTCATCCCAGTTTTTCTGTGTGGAACAATCCCTGTATCCCTGAGATAAAGCCTGCTTGGTTATGGGGTGTAATCTTTTGGATTATTTCTACATTAAGAAATTTTGCCTCTGTACTCATTTAAAGAGCTTGTCCCATAGTTCTTTATTTGGATGTCCCCTTTCTGGTTTTTGTATCGTCATCATAATTGCTTCCAGAATAATTTTAGTAGTATTGTTTCCCTTGCAGTATCATTGAAGATTTTGAGGTATACTTGGCGTTAGATCTCCTCTAAATTTCTTGTACAATTCAGCAGTGAATCCATCACAAACTGGGTTTTTCTTTAGTTGGCACATTTTATTACCTTTTCAATTTCACGGACTAATATTGGACTATTGAGATTTTTTATATTTTTATATTTTATGGATTAATATTGGATTATTCAGGTTTGACAATGTCTCTAAAAATATATCCATTTCTTCTGGATTTTCTATTTTATTTGATTCTAGGTTCTCTGCAGAATCCCTTGTGATTTCATCTTTCCATTAAGATTTTTTTCTCCTTGATTTGATGAGGTTGACTAAGGATTTGTCTATTCTATTAAGTCTTTCAAAGAACCAACTCTGTGACT